GCCACAAGAGGGGGACAGAGAGACTTTAGGGCACCACAGGGCTCACACAGGAGCTCGGGGTGCCTGGTGCGTGGTGCACAAATGGGCCTCTTGGGTTGAGTCACGGAGATTCAAGGATAGTGCCCCACTATGGCCCTGAATGTGACTGTCCCTGTTGAGAAAAGGGTCATCCCAGTGGGTCTCCTGGAGCCTGGTCAGGGGACGGCGTTGTTTCCCGGGTGTTGGGTCAAGGCAGAGCTCTGGTTGGCACCTGGTGGTGCTGCAGGTCAGCCCTGGGACTTGTGGGCTTCGGGCCAAGGGGGAGCCCACATCCTCCTGCAGGTCACCCTTTTTCCAATATCAAGTGTCTGGAAGGGTGGCCTCCTGAGGTGGGAAGGCCTGCTGTCGAGGGACCTGTCCTGGCAATTTGTCTCTCAAGCTTCTTCTGAGCTTTGGGGCCACATCCAGTGTGTGTGGTCTTGGGCCCAGGCAAAGGAGAGGGCACCATGTGGCTCCTCATTGGCCACGTGTGGCCGGCTCTGTGTGTGGGAGGTATGCAGAGTATGGATGAGGACCCACCTGAGGAAGCACGTGGCCCTGTGGCCCCAGGCTGTGATTTCTGTTTCACTCTTGGAGAGGGTGCCTGGATGCACGGTCCCCACACCCGGGGAAAGGCTATGCGACTGCCACGTCTGTGTGGCTTGTGGCATCTGGGCAGGCCTACTTCGTTGGTCGTGTCCTGGATGGTGGCCGGGGTCTGGGCCAGTGGTCCCAGGGCAGCCCTGGGGTGATGCAGGGGAGCAGTTTTGGACAGCAGAAGTGTTCTTGGGGTCTGCAGTACAGCACAGCCTGGGCATTTTGCTCAAGCCCAGTGACCCACCTGCTCTGTCCTATCTGGGTTCGGTGGAAGGGAGGGCCAAGGGTGAACCCCATACTTGACGGCTCAGCATTTAACATCAGAGTCATCACACATGTCCATGGAGGGCAAGCAAGGGTGAGCTGGCACCCCCATCCCCTTCCGTGCATGGAGGTCAGTTTGGGTACACGTCTTCCTTCTGTCTCCCCAGATGGTGATCCCGGAGGAAAACTTGTGCTGGGTCTGCTGTGTCTGGGCCAGCGTCAGCCGTGCAGGTGCCCAGCCCCCAGTGTGCTGAAGCTCGGGTCCTTCCCGGAGCTCTTGGCTCCTGCACTGAGCTGTGGCGAGCCCATCTGTGTCCTGCTGGATGCATGCGTAGGGATGGGGGTGCCCTGAGTTGGGTCGATGATGAGAACCTTACATTGTTCTGAAGAGAGGTGATGACTTAAAAATCATGCTCAATAGGATTACGCTGAGGCCCAGCCTAGGGGAGAATGTTGGAAGAGGATGCTGGGATTCTAAGGTCTCCAGCAGAGCCACTGTATTTTGGGCTGGAGACCTTGAGGCCCTGAAGGGCATCTCTGGGGTGCCCAGCCCTGTCTCTGCGCTCCTCCATGAGGCAACCCAGGCTCCCTGTGCTGACTTAGTGTCCGGGCTCTGGGTCCCTGGGGGCGAGGCGCGTTGGAGGCTCCTTCCTGAGACCCTGTTCTCCCCCATGTCTTTCAGTGAGCTCTTCTGCCCAAGTGGTCCCCCTGACCTTGACCAGCATAGGTGAGTGGACCCTGCTGGGGGTCATGGGCCATTAGCCAGACCATCTGGAGTTACCGAGGTTCAGACTTGAGGCCCTGAGGGTTTTCTCAGAGAGCTGACCTGAATTCCCACCTGGGAAAGATGAATTTTCCAGGAGGGCTGCTTTTCTTGGGAATTGAACCCAAGGAGGATGCCTTCCCTGAAGCCCTGCATGGGTGACATTGCTCCAGGCTGGAAAGGGTTCCTTCACTGCCGTGTAGGGCAGCCTGCAGCTGAGACTCAGTGCTCAGGTCAGACCTTTCAGACCCTAAGGACTGCCAAAACACATGAGCAGGGCCAGAGGGGCTCCGGGTGCCATGGGGTCACATAGGAGCACTCAGTCCCTGGAGTGTGGTATGTGGATGGACCCGTAGGGTTGGGTTGTGGAGATTCAAGGATCACGCCTCACCTATGGCCCTGAATGGAACCATCCTTGTTGAACAATTGCCCATCCAGGTGGGTCTCCTGGAGCCTGGTTGGGGGCAGCATTGTTTCCCTGGGGTTGGGTCAAGGAGGAGCTCTGGCCAGACCTGGTGGTGCTACAGGTCAGCCCTGGGACTCTTGGGCATTGGGCCAAAGGGCAACCCTCATCCTGCTGGGCGTCATCCCATCTCCAAGGTTTGAGTGTCGCGAAGGGTGGCCTCCCGAGTTGGGAAGGCTTGCTGTGAAGGGACCTGTCTCATTTTGTGGCTCAGGCTGCTTGGGAGCCATGGTGTCACCTTCAGGATGGAAGAGTCTTGGTCCCAAGCAAAGGAGAGGGCACCATGTGTCTCCCAATGGCCAAGTGTGGCTGCCTCTGTGTGTGGGAGGTATGCGGAGTATGGATGGGGACCCACCAGAGAAAAGATGTGGCCCTGCAGCCCCAGGCTGTGACTTCTGGTGCACACTTGCAGAGTGCAGCTAGATGCGCGCTCCCCACACCCAGGGTAGGCTGTGCGACTGCCAGGTCTGCAGCAGGGTGTGGCCTCTGGGCCAGCCTTCTTGGTTGGCCATGAGGCGGCTGGTGTCCCTGGCCTGTGCCCAGTGGTCTTAGGGAGGAGTCCCTTGGGTCATGCAGGGGAGCCTCTTGGGCAGTGGAGATGCTCTCAGGATCTGCCGTTTTGGGTGCAGCCTAGCATTTTGCCTGAGCCCAGTGACCTACCTGCCCTGTCCTTCCAGGGTTTGGCGGCAGGGACAGCCAAGGGTTCCCCATGTCGGTGATGATTCAATGTTTCACTTGGATCTCATCACATGGGTCCATGGAGGGCAAGCATGTGTGAGCTGGCCTCACCTACCTCCTTCCCCACATGGAGCTCATCTTGGACACATGTCCTCCACCTGTCCCCCAGATGGTGAGACTGAAGGAAGACCTGCATTGGGCCTGCTGTTCCTGGGCCAGCGGCCATCAGCCAGTTGCCCAGTCCCTGGTACGCTGAAGCTCAGGCCCTTCCTGGCACCCTGGTCTACTACCCTGAGCTGTGGTGAGCACATCTGGGTCCCACTGGATCCATGCATGGGGAGAGGGGTGCTCTAGGTTGGGCCGATGATGAGAATCTTATATTGTCCTGAAGAGAGTTGATGACTTAAAAATCATGCTCAATAGGATTACGCTGAGGCCCAGCCTAGGGGAGAATTTTGAAAGACGATGCTGGGTCCCACTGGATCCATGCTTGGGGTGAGGGGTGCTCTAGGTTGGGTCAATGATGAGAACCTTATATTGTCCTGAAGAGAGGTGATGACTTAAAAATCATGCTCAATAGGATTACGCTGAGGCCCAGCCTAGGGGAGAATTTTGAACGCGGGCACTGGGAATCATGAGGTCCCTGGCAGGGCCACTGTAATTTGGGCTGGAGACCTTGAGGTCCTCAAGGGCCTCTCAGGGGTACCCAGCCCTGTCTCTGTGCTCCTCCATGAAGCTCACCAGGCTCCATGTGTGGACTTGGTTTGACCCACCTGTTCCCCAGGGGCAGGGCACACTGGGGGCTGCTCTCTGAGCCCCCGTTCTCTGCTTGTGTCTTTCAGTGAGTTCTTCAGCTCAGAAGGGCCCCTTGGCCTTGACCTGCATAGGTGAGTACACCCTGCTGGCGTCATGGGCCATGAGTCAGGCCCTGTGCTCTCCCTGAGGGTCAGTCTTCCGGACAGGAGGGTTTCCTCAGGGAGCTGACCTGTGTCTCCACTGGGTAGGGACAGTTTCTCCAGGAGGGCAGCTTACTTGGGATTCGTACCCAAGACCTTGCCTTTCTGAAGACCTGCAGGGTAACAGTGGTCCTGGCAGGAAAGCGTTCCTTCGGCCCCACGCAGGGCAGCTTCCCTCTGAGACTGTGCGTGTGTCAGCCTGGAGAACTGCCCAGGCCACGCGAGGGGGTCACAGGGCCTCCGGGGCACCACGGGGATCATGCAAGAGCTCTCTTTCCCTGCAGAGGGGTGCCTGAATAAGGTCATGGAGTCGGGCCATGGACATTCAAGGATCGTACCCCAACCATGGCCCTAAAAGGGCTGACCCTTTTGAGGAATGGGCCATCCCGTAGCGCATCTTTGAGCTTTGTTGGGGGCAGTGCTGTTGCACTGGGTGTGAGTCAAAGCTGAGTTCTGGCCAATGCGTGGTGGTGCTGCAGGCGGGCCCTGGGAATTGTGGGCTTTAGGCCATGTCGGCCGCCCTCGTCCTGCTGGAGGACACCCCTTCCCCACGGTCAGAGGCTGGAAGAGTGGATCCTGAGGTGGGAAGGCCTGCTGTCAATTATCAATGGTCCTGTCCCTGGAATTTGCTGCCAGGCATTTTCTGTGCCACGTGGTCATCTCCAGGGTGGTGGAGTCTTGGGCATAAGCAAAGGAAAGGACACTCATGTGGCCCAAAGTTGTCCGAGGGTGGCCCAGCTCTGTGTTTGAGACACGTGCAGGGCATGGATGGGGACCCACCACAGAAAGCACGGGGCCCTGGGACTCCAGGCTTCTATTTCAGTATGGCTTGCAAAGGGCCACACCCAGGGGCAGGCTGTGCCGCTTCCATGTCCACAGCGGCACGTGGCTTCTGGGCCAGCCTCCTCGGTTGGCCATGAGCTGGTTGGTGACCTCGGCCCATGCTCAGTGATCCCAGAACAGCCCTGGGATCGTGCGAAGGGGAAGGCAGAGGGGCAGAGGAGGTGCCCTTAAGGTCTGCAGTAGGGCACTGCCTGGGGGTCTTGCCCAAGCCCAGTGACCTCCCTGAACTGTTTTTTCAGGGTTTGGTCATGGGGAGGGCCAAGGGTGCCCCATGTCCGTGACGGGTCAGTGTTCCACATGGATCCCATCACATGGTAACCCTTACCCCCTTCCCCACATGCAGGCGTGAGGCCCTGACTGGACACATGTTCTCCTTCTGTCCCCCCAGACGTTGAGCCCGGAGGAAGACTTATGTGAGGCCCAGTGGACCCAGGCCAGTGTCCGTCAGCCAGGTGCTCAGTCCCTGGTGCGCTGAAGCTCAGGCCCTTCCTGGCACCCTGGTCTCCTGCACTGAGCTGTGGTGAGCATATCTGGGTCCCACTGGATCCATGCGTGGGGAGAGGTGTGCTCTCGGTTGGGCCAATGATGAGAATCTTATATTGTCCTGAAGAGAAGTGATGACTTCAAAATCACGCTCAATAGGATTACGCTGAGGCCCAGCCTAGGGGAGAAAATTGGAAGACCATGCTGGGTCCCACTGGATCCATGCTTGGGTTGGGGGGTGCCCTGGGTTGGGTCGATGATGAGAACCTTATATTGTCTTGAAGAGAGATGATGACTTAAAAATCATGCTCAATAGGATTACGCTGAGGCCCAGCCTAGGTGAGAATGTTGGAAGAGGACGCTGGGATGCCCAGTCGCCTGGCAAGGCCACTGCATTTTGGGCTAGAGACCTGGAGGCCCTGAAGGGCATCTGGAGGGGTCCAGCCCTGTCTCTGCGGTCCTCTGTGAGGCAGCCCAGGCTCCGTGTGCGGGCTTGGTGTTGCTGCTCCTGTTTCTGCGGGCAGGGCACGTGGGTGGCTCCTCCTGAGCCCCCACTCTTTCCTTGTGTCTTTCAGTGAACCCTTCTGCCAAGGGTGGCCTCCTGGCATTGACCAACATAGGTGAGTGGATCCTGCTGGGTCATGGGTCCTGAGCCAGGCCATGTTGGGTCACCGAGGGTCAGCCTTTGGGCCACGAGGGTTTTCCCCGGGAGCTGACCTGGATCCCCACCAAGGAGGGATGGTTTCTGTAGGAGGGCGGCTTCCTTGGGAATTTTGCCTAATGAGGATGCCTTCCCCGAAGCCCTGCAGGGGTGATGATGGTCCAGATAGCAGAGGGTTTCTTCAGCCCCATGCAAGACATGGCCCAGTGAGAGCTGGTGTGCGGGTCAGGCCTCGAGGACTGAGGTGGGCCAGAAGGGCTCTGGGGTGCCATGAATGCGAGAGCTCTCAGTCCCCGAGTTTGTTCCAGGGTGCGGTGACAGGGTTGGGCTATGGAGGTTCAAGGGTCTCATCCCCTCTGTGGCCCTGAGTGGGGCTGACCCTGTTGAGCAGCGGGCCATCCCAGTGGCACGTACTCAGCCTGGTGGGGGTGGTGCAGTTTCAATGTGGTTGGGTCAAGGCTGAGATCCGGCCGGCGCCTGGTGGTGCTGAAGAGCATCCGTGGGACCCGTGGGCTTTGGGCTATGGGGTCAGCCTGCATCCCACTGGGGGTCACCTGTTCTCTGAGTTTTAGTGGCAGTAATGGTAGCATTCTGAGGTGGGGTGGCCTATTGTCCCCGTACCGGCAATTTGCCATCCGTTTTTTTCTGAGCCATGGGGTCACCTCCAGGGTGGCAGGGTCTTGGGCCCAAGGAAAGGAGAAGATACCGTGTAGCCGTTGATTGGCCGAGTGTGGCCCGGCTCTGTGTTTGGAGGTGTGTGGGATATGGATGGGGTCCCACCAGTGAAAGCACGTGGCCTGTCTCCAGGCTGTGATTTTCAGTGCACACTTGGAGAGGGCGCCTCGGCGGTTGCCTGCCACACCCGGGTCAGGCTATGTGACTGGCAGATTTGCATGGTGCATACCTTCCGAGCTGTCCTCCTTGGTTGGCTGTGAGCTGGTTGGTGGCTGTGGCTCATGTCCAGTGGTCACAAGGCAGTCCTGAAATCATGCTGGGGAGCCAGCGGCGGCACTGGAGGTGCTCTCTGGGCTGGTAGTAGGGCGCAGCTCAGGCGTCTTGCCCGAACCCAGTGACCAGCCTGCCCCGTTTTTTCAGGGTTTGGTGACCGGGAGGGCTAAGGGTGCCCTGCATACGTGACGGGTCAGGGTTCCACATGGACCCATCACGTGGGTATCCCTTAATGCCTTTTCCACACTGAGGTGTGAGGCTCTATTTGGACACGTGTACTCCTCCTGTCCCCCAGATAGTGAGCCCAGAGAAAGACTTGCGTTGGACACAATGGCCCTGGGACAGTGTCTGTCAGCCGGGTTCCCAGCCCACGATGCGCTGGAGCTCAGCCCTTTCCCGGGGCCCTGGTCTCCTGCACTGAGCTTGGTGAGCACATCCTGGTCCCACTGGATTCATGCGCGGGGAGTGGGTGCCCTGGGTTGGGTCAATGATGAGAACCTTATATTGTCTGAAGAGAGGTGATGACTTAAAAATCATGCTCAATAGGATTACGCTGAGGCCCAGCCTAGGGGAGAATGTTGGAAGAAGATGCTGGGATCCCCAAGTCCCCAGCAGGGCCCCTGCATTTTGCGCTGGAGACCTAATGGCTCTGAAGGGCATCTGTAGGTGCCCAACCTGTCTCTGTGCTCCTCATGAGGCAGCCCAGGCTCCCTCTGCGGGTCTGGACTCGGTGCTCCAGTGGCCTGGACTGGGGAACCTTGGTGGCTTCTTCCTGAGCCCCTGTTCTCTCCTTGTATTTTTCAGTGAGCTCCTCTGCCCAGGTGAGCCGCCTGGCATTGACTGTAATAGGTGAGTGGATCCTGCTGGGGTCATTGGCCATTAGCCAGGCTGTGTCGGGCCCCCAAGTTTCAGCTGTTGGGCCCCAAGGGTTGTCTCAGGCAGCCAACCTGATTTCCCACCTGGGAGAGATGGGTTCTCCAGGAGGCAGCTTTTTTGGGAATCACACCCAAGGAGGAAGCCTTCCCTGAAGCCCTGCTGGGGTGATGGTGGTCCAGGCAGGAAACGGTTCCTTCTGCCCAATGCAGGTCAGCACTCACCTGAGACTTGGTACTCCAGTAAGGCTTGAGTCCTGCCCAGACCACATGAAAGGGGCCAGAAGGGCTTCGGTGCCACAGGAGTAACAGGGGAGCTCTTGGTCCCCAGAGTGTGGTGTGTTAATGGGCCCATGGGGTTGAGTTGCAGAGATTCAGGGATCCTGCCCCACCCATGGCCCTGAATGTGACCATCCCTGTTGAGCAATGGGCTCTCCCAGTGGGTCTCCTGGAGCCTGGTGGGGGACAGTGTTATTTCCCTGGGGTTGGGTCAAGGCCGAGGTCTGGCTGGTACATGATGGTTCTACAGGCCAGCCCTGGGACTCGTGAGAATTGGGCCAAGGGGCAGCCTGTATCCTGCTGGCGGTCACCCTTTCTCCGAGGTTGAGTGTCATGAAGGGTGGCCTCCTGTGGTGGGAAGGCCTGCTGTCGAAGGACCTCTACTGGGACTTTGTTGCTCAGGCTACTTGGGAGCCATGGTGTCACCTCCAGGGTGTGGGATCTTGGGACCAAGCAAAGGAGAGGGCACCATGTGGCTCCTGATTGGCCATGCGTTGCTGGCTCTGTGTCTGGGAGGTGTGTGGAGTGTGGATGGAGATCCACCAGAGAAAGCAAGTGACCATGCAGCCTCCGGCTGTGATTTCTTGTGCACGCTTGGAGAGGTCACCTGTATGCATGCCCACCATGCCCATGGGAAGGCTGTGCCCCTGCCAAGTCTGCAGAGGTGCTTGGCCTCTGGGGCAGCCTCCTTGGTTGGCCGTGACCTGGTTGGTGGCCTGGGGCTGTGCCCAGTGGTCTCAGGGCAGGTCTGGGGTCATGCAGGAGGGAGCCATTTAGGGCAGTGGAGGTACTCTCAGGGCCTGCAGTATGGCAGAGCCTGGGCGTTTTGCCTGAGCCCGGTGACCCTCCTGCCCTGCCCTTCCCTGGTTGGGTGGCAGGGAGGGCCAAGGGTTCCCTGTGTCGGTAACGAGTCATTATTTCATATGGCGCTCATCCCATGTGTCCATGGAGGGGACCAAAGATGAGCTGACACCCACCCCCACCTTCTCCACAGGGAAGGTGGTCACATGTCCTCCACCTGTGCCCCTAGATGGTGAGACCGGAGGAAGACTTCCGTGGGCCCGCTTTTCCTGGGCCAGTGCCGTCAGCCAAGTCCCAGTTCGTGGTGCGCCGAAGTCCTGGCCTTTTCTAGCACCCTAGTCTCCTGCACTGAGCTGTGGTGAGCACATCCAGGTTCCACTGGATGTTTGTTAGGGGAAGGCAGTTACTTGGGTTGGGTCGATGATGAGAGCCTTATATTGTCCTGAAGAGAGGTGATGACTTAAAAATCATGCTCAATAGGATTACGCTGAGGCCCAGCCTAGGGGAGAATGTTGGAAGAGGTTGCTGGGATCTCGACATGTCTGGCAGGGCCACTGTATTGTGGACTGGAGTCCTGGAGGTCCTGAAGGGCATCTTGAGGTCCCCTCCCCTCACCGTCTCTGTGCTTCTCCTTGAAGCAGCCCAGGCTCCCTGTGCGGTTTGGAGTTGGTGCTCTAGTTCCCTGGGCCGGGGAAACTTGGTGGCTTCTTCCTGAACCCCTGTTCTCTCCTTATGTTTTTCAGTGAGCTCCTCCACCGAGGTGAGCCACCTGGCATTGACCATAATATGTAAGTGGGTCCTGATGGGTCATGGGCCGTTAGAGACGCCACGTGGGGTTGCCGAGGGTCAGACTTTCAGCCCCGAGGATTTTCTCAGGCAGCCGACCTGAATTCCCACCAGGAGGGCAGCTCTTTTGAGAATCGGACCCAAGGGAGACAGCTTCCCTGAAGCCCTGCAGGGGTGATGGTAGTCCAGGCAGGAAAGGGTATCTTCAGCACCCACGCAGCACAGCTCCTATCTGGGACTAGGTGCTCGGGTTAGGCCTTAAGGACTGCTTAGGCCACAAGAGGGGGACAGAGAGACTTTAGGGCACCACAGGGCTCACACAGGAGCTCGGGGTGCCTGGTGCGTGGTGCACAAATGGGCCTCTTGGGTTGAGTCACGGAGATTCAAGGATAGTGCCCCACTATGGCCCTGAATGTGACTGTCCCTGTTGAGAAAAGGGTCATCCCAGTGGGTCTCCTGGAGCCTGGTCAGGGGACGGCGTTGTTTCCCGGGTGTTGGGTCAAGGCAGAGCTCTGGTTGGCACCTGGTGGTGCTGCAGGTCAGCCCTGGGACTTGTGGGCTTCGGGCCAAGGGGGAGCCCACATCCTCCTGCAGGTCACCCTTTTTCCAATATCAAGTGTCTGGAAGGGTGGCCTCCTGAGGTGGGAAGGCCTGCTGTCGAGGGACCTGTCCTGGCAATTTGTCTCTCAAGCTTCTTCTGAGCTTTGGGGCCACATCCAGTGTGTGTGGTCTTGGGCCCAGGCAAAGGAGAGGGCACCATGTGGCTCCTCATTGGCCACGTGTGGCCGGCTCTGTGTGTGGGAGGTATGCAGAGTATGGATGAGGACCCACCTGAGGAAGCACGTGGCCCTGTGGCCCCAGGCTGTGATTTCTGTTTCACTCTTGGAGAGGGTGCCTGGATGCACGGTCCCCACACCCGGGGAAAGGCTATGCGACTGCCACGTCTGTGTGGCTTGTGGCATCTGGGCAGGCCTACTTCGTTGGTCGTGTCCTGGATGGTGGCCGGGGTCTGGGCCAGTGGTCCCAGGGCAGCCCTGGGGTGATGCAGGGGAGCAGTTTTGGACAGCAGAAGTGTTCTTGGGGTCTGCAGTACAGCACAGCCTGGGCATTTTGCTCAAGCCCAGTGACCCACCTGCTCTGTCCTATCTGGGTTCGGTGGAAGGGAGGGCCAAGGGTGAACCCCATACTTGACGGCTCAGCATTTAACATCAGAGTCATCACACATGTCCATGGAGGGCAAGCAAGGGTGAGCTGGCACCCCCATCCCCTTCCGTGCATGGAGGTCAGTTTGGGTACACGTCTTCCTTCTGTCTCCCCAGATGGTGATCCCGGAGGAAAACTTGTGCTGGGTCTGCTGTGTCTGGGCCAGCGTCAGCCGTGCAGGTGCCCAGCCCCCAGTGTGCTGAAGCTCGGGTCCTTCCCGGAGCTCTTGGCTCCTGCACTGAGCTGTGGCGAGCCCATCTGTGTCCTGCTGGATGCATGCGTAGGGATGGGGGTGCCCTGAGTTGGGTCGATGATGAGAACCTTACATTGTTCTGAAGAGAGGTGATGACTTAAAAATCATGCTCAATAGGATTACGCTGAGGCCCAGCCTAGGGGAGAATGTTGGAAGAGGATGCTGGGATTCTAAGGTCTCCAGCAGAGCCACTGTATTTTGGGCTGGAGACCTTGAGGCCCTGAAGGGCATCTCTGGGGTGCCCAGCCCTGTCTCTGCGCTCCTCCATGAGGCAACCCAGGCTCCCTGTGCTGACTTAGTGTCCGGGCTCTGGGTCCCTGGGGGCGAGGCGCGTTGGAGGCTCCTTCCTGAGACCCTGTTCTCCCCCATGTCTTTCAGTGAGCTCTTCTGCCCAAGTGGTCCCCCTGACCTTGACCAGCATAGGTGAGTGGACCCTGCTGGGGGTCATGGGCCATTAGCCAGACCATCTGGAGTTACCGAGGTTCAGACTTGAGGCCCTGAGGGTTTTCTCAGAGAGCTGACCTGAATTCCCACCTGGGAAAGATGAATTTTCCAGGAGGGCTGCTTTTCTTGGGAATTGAACCCAAGGAGGATGCCTTCCCTGAAGCCCTGCATGGGTGACATTGCTCCAGGCTGGAAAGGGTTCCTTCACTGCCGTGTAGGGCAGCCTGCAGCTGAGACTCAGTGCTCAGGTCAGACCTTTCAGACCCTAAGGACTGCCAAAACACATGAGCAGGGCCAGAGGGGCTCCGGGTGCCATGGGGTCACATAGGAGCACTCAGTCCCTGGAGTGTGGTATGTGGATGGACCCGTAGGGTTGGGTTGTGGAGATTCAAGGATCACGCCTCACCTATGGCCCTGAATGGAACCATCCTTGTTGAACAATTGCCCATCCAGGTGGGTCTCCTGGAGCCTGGTTGGGGGCAGCATTGTTTCCCTGGGGTTGGGTCAAGGAGGAGCTCTGGCCAGACCTGGTGGTGCTACAGGTCAGCCCTGGGACTCTTGGGCATTGGGCCAAAGGGCAACCCTCATCCTGCTGGGCGTCATCCCATCTCCAAGGTTTGAGTGTCGCGAAGGGTGGCCTCCCGAGTTGGGAAGGCTTGCTGTGAAGGGACCTGTCTCATTTTGTGGCTCAGGCTGCTTGGGAGCCATGGTGTCACCTTCAGGATGGAAGAGTCTTGGTCCCAAGCAAAGGAGAGGGCACCATGTGTCTCCCAATGGCCAAGTGTGGCTGCCTCTGTGTGTGGGAGGTATGCGGAGTATGGATGGGGACCCACCAGAGAAAAGATGTGGCCCTGCAGCCCCAGGCTGTGACTTCTGGTGCACACTTGCAGAGTGCAGCTAGATGCGCGCTCCCCACACCCAGGGTAGGCTGTGCGACTGCCAGGTCTGCAGCAGGGTGTGGCCTCTGGGCCAGCCTTCTTGGTTGGCCATGAGGCGGCTGGTGTCCCTGGCCTGTGCCCAGTGGTCTTAGGGAGGAGTCCCTTGGGTCATGCAGGGGAGCCTCTTGGGCAGTGGAGATGCTCTCAGGATCTGCCGTTTTGGGTGCAGCCTAGCATTTTGCCTGAGCCCAGTGACCTACCTGCCCTGTCCTTCCAGGGTTTGGCGGCAGGGACAGCCAAGGGTTCCCCATGTCGGTGATGATTCAATGTTTCACTTGGATCTCATCACATGGGTCCATGGAGGGCAAGCATGTGTGAGCTGGCCTCACCTACCTCCTTCCCCACATGGAGCTCATCTTGGACACATGTCCTCCACCTGTCCCCCAGATGGTGAGACTGAAGGAAGACCTGCATTGGGCCTGCTGTTCCTGGGCCAGCGGCCATCAGCCAGTTGCCCAGTCCCTGGTACGCTGAAGCTCAGGCCCTTCCTGGCACCCTGGTCTACTACCCTGAGCTGTGGTGAGCACATCTGGGTCCCACTGGATCCATGCATGGGGAGAGGGGTGCTCTAGGTTGGGCCGATGATGAGAATCTTATATTGTCCTGAAGAGCTTTGTTGGGGGCAGTGCTGTTGCACTGGGTGTGAGTCAAAGCTGAGTTCTGGCCAATGCGTGGTGGTGCTGCAGGCGGGCCCTGGGAATTGTGGGCTTTAGGCCATGTCGGCCGCCCTCGTCCTGCTGGAGGACACCCCTTCCCCACGGTCAGAGGCTGGAAGAGTGGATCCTGAGGTGGGAAGGCCTGCTGTCAATTATCAATGGTCCTGTCCCTGGAATTTGCTGCCAGGCATTTTCTGTGCCACGTGGTCATCTCCAGGGTGGCAGAGTCTTCGGCCTAAGGAAAGGAAAGGGTGGCCCAGCTCTGTGTTTGAGACACGTGCAGGCCATGGATGGGGACCCACCACAGAAAGCACGGGGCCCTGGGACTCCAGGCTTCTATTTCAGTATGGCTTGCAAAGGGCCACACCCAGGGGCAGGCTGTGCCGCTTCCATGTCCACAGCGGCACGTGGCTTCTGGGCCAGCCTCCTCGGTTGGCCATGAGCTGGTTGGTGACCTCGGCCCATGCTCAGTGATCCCAGAACAGCCCTGGGATCGTGCGAAGGGGAAGGCAAGGGGCAGAGGAGGTGCCCTTAAGGTCTGCAGTAGGGCACTGCCTGGGGTCTTGCCCAAGCCCAGTGACCTCCCTGAACTGTTTTTTCAGGGTTTGGTCATGGGGAGGGCCAAGGGTGCCCCATGTCCGTGACGGGTCAGTGTTCCACATGGATCCCATCACACAGGTAACCGTTACCCCCTTGCCCACACGCAGGTGTGAAGCCCTCTTTGGACACATGTTTTCCTGTCCCCGCAGATAGTGAGCCTGGAGGAAGACTTATGTGAGGCCCAGTGGAGCCAGGCCAGTGTCCGTCAGCTAGGTGCTTAGCCCCCTTTGTGCTGAAGCTTGGGCGCTTCCTGGCTGTGGTGAGCACATCTGGGTCTCACTGGATGCATGTGCTTGGAGGGTGTTGCCCTGGATCGGGTTGATGATGAGAACCTTATATCGTCTTGAAGAGAGGAGATTACTTAAAATCATGCTCAATAGGATTATGCTGAAGCCCAGCCTAGGTGAGATTTTTTGAAGAGGACACTAGTATCCCCAGCAAGGCCACTGTATTTTGAGTTGGAGACCCAGAAGCCTTGACGGGCATCTGTAGGGGTCCCAACTCTATCTCCACGCTTCTCCATGAGGGTCCCCAGGCTCCCTGCGCAGGGTTGGTGTTGGTACTCTGGTTCTTTGGGGATGGGGCAGGTTGGTGGCTTTTTCCTGAGCCGGTGTTCTCCCACCCTGTGTCTTTCAGTGAGCTTTTCCACCTAGGTGTACCTCCTGGCATTAACTGGCATAGGTGAGTGGACCCTGCTGTGGTCATGCACCATTAGCCAAGCTCTTTGGGGTTGCTGAGGTTCAGCCTTTGGGCCACAAGGGTTTTCTAAGGCAGCCGGCCTGAATTTCCACCTGCGAGAGATGAGTTCTCTGTGAGAACTGCTTTTTTGGGAATCAGACCCAAGGAGGATGCCTTCCCTGAAGCCCTGAAGGGGTGATTTTGGTCCAAGCAGGAAAGGGTTGCTTTATCCCCATGCAGGGCAGCCTCAAGCTGAGACTCAGTGCTTGGGTCAGGCTTCAAGGACTGCCCAAACACATGAGCGGGGCCAGAGGGGCTCCGGATGCCATGGGGGTCACATGGGAGTTCTCAGTCCCCGAGTATAGTGTGTGAATGGACCCGTAGGGTTGGGTCATGGAGATTCAAGGACCGTGCGTCAACCATGGCCACACTGCAAGCCCAACCCTGTGTCTGGGCACTTCTGTGAGGCACCCCGGCCCCACTGTTCAGGCTTGGTGTCTGTGCTCTGGTTCCCTGGGACACGTTGGCAGCTGTTTCCTGAGCCCTCCTTCTTCTCTGTGTCTTTCAGTGAGCTCATCTACCCAGGTGGGTCCCCTGGCTTTGAGTGGTGTAGATGTTCAAGGCTGAAGCAACAGCATGCTTGCATCCTGTTTTGGTCATGGGTTGTGAGTGAGGCAGCGTGGGGTCGTCATGAGTCAGCCTTTGGATCTCTAGGGTTTTCTGAGGGAGCTGACCGAACACCCACGGGGAGGGATGCTTCCTCCAGGAGGGTTGCTTCCTGGGGAATTTGACCATAGAGCATGCATTTTTTGAAGCCCTGCAGGGGTGATGCTGGTCCAGGCAGGAAGGAGTTCCTCCAGCCCAGGATAGGGCAGTTTCCAGCTGAAACTCCATGGGCAGGTGAGCCCTCGAGGACTGCCCAGGCCACATGAGGGTGGCAGCAGGGTCACTGGGGTGCCCTGGGGCTAACATTGGGGTTCTCCTTCCCCCAGAAGGGTGGGTGATAGAGCCCACATGGTCAGGCTTTGGAGATGCAAGGAATACTACCCACCATGGCCCTGAATGGGACTGACTCTGTTGAGCAATGGGCCATTTCAGTGGTGCCTCCTTGAGCTTGGTGGGGGGCGTTGCTGTTTCACTGCTGTTGGATGAAGGCTGAGCTCTGGCTGGTGCCTGGAGGTGCTGCAGGCCATTCCTGGGGCTCATGGACTTTGGGAAAGTGGGCAGCTTATGTTCTGCTGGGGTCATCTCTTCCTTGAGGTCCAGTGATGGGAAGTGTGGCCACCTGAGGTGGGAAGGCCTGCTTTCAAGGGACCCGTCCTAGGAATTTGCCACCTAGCCTGCTTCTGAGCCATGGGGTCACCTCCAGGGTGGTGGGGTCTTGAGCTCAAGGAAAGTAGAGAACACCATGTGGTTCCCAATTGACGGAATATGGCCTGGCTCTGTGTGTGGGAGGTGTGCAGGGCATGGATGGGGACCCACCAGAGACAGCATGTGGCCCTTGTGGCCCCAGGCTTTGCTTTCTGGTGCATTCTTGGAGTAGGCACCAGGGCGGCCCTACCACACCCAGGGGCAGGCTCTGCCACAGTGGCTCTTGGCATCAGGACCCGCCCCCTTGGTCGTGAGCAGGTTGCTTGTCCTGGTCCATGCCCCATGGTCCTGGTGTGGGCCTGGGGTTGTTTAGGGGAGCCGGCCCTGGCAGTGGAGGTGCTCTCGTGGCCTGCAGTAGGGTAGAGCTCAGGTGTCTTGCTTCAGCCCTGTGACCCTGTCTGGTGCCTGGAGGTGCTGCAGGCCGGCCCTGGGGCTCATGGTCTTTGGGCCAAGGGGACAGCTCACGTCCCTCTAGGGTCATCCCTTCCTTGAGGTCCAGTGGCAGGAAGCGTGGCCTCCTGAGGTGTGAAGGCCTGCTGCTGAGGGACCTGTCCTGGGAATTTGCCACCCAGGCTGCTTCTGAGCAATAGGGCCACCTCCAGGGTGGCGGGGTCTTGAGCCTCTCTTTCCAAGGTTTGGTGGCAGGGAGGGCCGAAGGTGCCTTGTGTCCATGATGGCTCACTGTTCTTCATGGATCCCATCACATGGATATCCCCTACTCACCTTCCCTGCTTTGATATGTGAGGCCCTGGTTGGACCCATGTCTTCCTCCTGTCTCTCCAGATGGTGAGCCTGGAGGAAGACTAGTGTTGGGCCTGCAGGCCCGAGGCCTGTGTCCATCAGCCAGCTTCTCAGCTCCCAGTGTGCTGAAGCTCAGACCGTTCTGGTGCCCTGGTCTCCTGCACTGAGCTGTGGTGAAATTATCCAGGTCCCGCTGGATCTATGCATGGGGAGGGGAGTTCCCTAATTGGGCCAATGATGAGAACTTTTCCAATTGTCCTGAAGAGAGGTGATGACTTTAAAATCATGCTCAATAGGATTACACTGAGACCCAGCCTAGGTGAGAATGTTGGAAGAGGTTGCTGGGATCCCAGGATTTCTGGCAGGGCCACACTGTGTTTGGGCTGGAGACCTGGAGGCCCTCAGGGCATCCATAGGGTGCCCAACCCTGTCTCTGCACTTTTTCTTTCTTTCTTTTTTTTTTTTGGAGACGGAGTTTCGCTCTTGTTACCCAGGCTGGAGTGCAATGGCGCGATCTCGGCTCACCACAACCTCCGCCTCCTGGGTTCAGGCAATTCTCCTGCCTCAGCCTCCTGAGTAGCTGGGATTACAGGCACGCGCCACCATGCCCAGCTAATTTTTTGTATTTTTAGTAGAGACGGGGTTTCACCGTGTTGACCAGGATGGTCTCGATCTCTCGACCTCGTGATCCACCCGCCTCAGCCTCCCAAAGTGCTGGGATTACAGGCGTGAGCTACCGTGCCTGGCTTCTGCATTTTTTTATGATGGTCCCTAGGCTCCCTGTACGGGCTTGGTGTTGGGGCCCCGATCACCCGGGGATGAGGCAGGTTGGTGGCTCCTTTCTGAGTCCCTGTTCTCCCCTTGTGTCTTTCAGTGAGCTCTTCTGCCCAGGTGGGCCTCCCAGCATTGACTGGCGTGAGTGGGCCCAGCTGGGGTCATAGCCTGTTAGCCAGGCCGTCTCGGAGTTGCCGAGGTTCAGCCTTCAGGCCACGAGGGTTTTCTCAGGCAGCTGACCTGAATTCCCACCTGGGAGAGATGAGTTCTCCAGGACGGCTGCTTTTTTGGGAATTGGACCCCAGGAGGATACCTTCCCTGAACCCCCGCATGGGTGACGGTGGTCCAGGCAGGAAAGGGTTCCTTCACCCCCATGTGGGGCAGACTCCAGTTGAGACTCAGTGCTTGGGTCAGGCCTTAAGGACTGCCTAAACACAGAAGGGGGGCCACAGTGGCTCTGGGTGCTATGGGAGTCACAGGGAGGCTCTCAGTCCCCGAGTATAGTGTTTGAATGGACCCATGGGGTTGTGTCGTGGAGATTCAAGGATCGCGCCTCACCCATGGCCCTGAATGGGACTGTCCCTGTTGAGCAATTGGCCATCTCGGTGGGTCTCCTGGAGCCTGGTGGGGGGCAGCATTGTTTCCTTGGGTTTGGGTCAAGGCAGAGCTGTGGCTGGCACCTGGTCGTGCTATAGGTCAGCCCTGGGATTTGTGGGCTCTGGGCCAAAGGGCACCCTGCATCCCTCTGGGGGTCATCCTATCTCTGAGGTCAAGTGTTGTGAAGGGTGGCATCCTGAGATGGGAATGCCTGCTGTGAAGGGACTTTTCCCAGAATTTTGTTGCTCCGGCTGCTTGGGAGCCATGGTGCTACCTTCAGGATGGAAGAGTCTTGGTCCCAAGCAAAGGAGAGGGCACCATGTGTCTCCCAGTGGCCAAGTGTGGCTGCCTCTGTGTGTGGGAGGTATGGGGAGTATGGATGGGGACCCACCAGAGAAAGCACGTGGCCCTGCAGCCCCAGGCTATGACTTCCGGCGCACGCTTGCAGAGTGCAGCTAGATGCGCGCTCCCCACACCCAGGGTAGGCTGTGCAACTGCCAGGTCTGCAGCAGGGTGTGGCCTCTGGGCCAGCCTTCTTGGTTGGCCATGAGGCGGCTGGTGTCCCTGGCCTGTGCCCAGTAGTCCCAGGGAGTCCCTTGGGTCATGCAGGTGAACCCTCTTGGGTAGTGGAAGCCCTCTTAGAGCCTGCCATATGGCACAGCCTGGGCATTGTTCCCAAGTCTAGTGACCTACCTGCCCTGTCCTTCCAGGGTTTGGTGTCAGGGAGGACCAGTGGTGCCCCATGTTGGTCACGATTCAGTATCACGTGGATCTCATCACATGTGTCCATGGAGGACGAGCATGCATGAGCTGGCACCCCTACCCCCTTCCCCACATGGAGGTCATTTTGGACACATGTCCTCCACCTGTGCCCCAGATGGTGAGACCAGAGGAAGACTTGCATTGGGCCTGCTGTTCCTGGGCCAGTGGCCATCAGCCAGGTGTCCAGCCTCTGCTGTGCTGAAGCTCAGGCCCTTCCTGGCACCCTGGTGTCCTGCACCAAGCTGTGGTGAGCACATCTGGGTCCCACTGGATGCATCCATGGGGAGGGGGCTGCACTGGGTTGGGTCAATGATGAGAATCTTACATTGTTCTGAAGAGAGGCGATGACTTAAAAATCATGCTCAAGGGCTGGGCGCGGTGGCTCAAGCCTGTAATCCCAGCACTTTGGGAGGCCGAGGCAGGTGGATCACGAGGTCAAGAGATTGAGACCATCCTGGTCAACATGGTGAAACCCCATCTCTACTAAAAATACAAAAAATTAGAGGGGCATGGTGGCGTGTGCCTGTAATCCCAGCTACTCAGGAGGCTGAGGTAGGAGAATTGCCTGAACCCAGGAGGCGGAGGTTGTGGTGAGCCGAGATCGCGCCATTGCACTCCAGCCTGGGTAACAAGAGCCAAACTCTGTCTCGGGAAAAAAAAAAAATCATGCTCAATAGGATTACGCTGAGGCCCAGTCTAGGGGAGAATTTGGAAGACTGTTGAGGAGCATTAAGCTTACCCTGCCCCCACGGCTCCCTTGTGGCGGATACTTTTAGTTTGTAATTAGTGATAGCTGGGTAACAGCTGCCTACTTGGTGTATTTTTACATTACAGAGAACACCTGTGTATTAATGAGAGTCACCTGTCAAGAGCAGATAAATACGAGGATGAACGCCTGCTCCAGGCCTTCAGTCTGGAGAGGTGTTAGCCCCGCAGGCTCTGAGGCTGGTGGTCTCCAGGATAGATCAGCTCTGTTTTGCTGTTTGGGTGTCTGTCTCTCAGATACCTTCAGCACCACCTGGGTGGGGGTCTCCTGACCGAGCTGGTACTTAGTAGAAGATGACGCTGGGATCCTGAGGTCCCCAGCAGGGCCGCTGTATTTTGGGCTGGAGAACTTGAGGCCCTGAAAGGCGTCTGTAGGGTGTCCCAACCCTGTTTCTGCGCACCTCCGTGAGACAGCCCAGGCTTCCTGTGTGGGCTTTGGCTCCCCGAGTGTGGGGCATGTTGGCGGCTCCTTCCTGAGCCCACGTTCTCACCCGTCTTTCAGTGAGCTCTTCTGCCCAGGTGGGACCCGTGGCCTTAAGTGGCGTAGGTGAGTGTATCCTGTTGGGGTCATGGGTCATGAGTGAGGAGATGTGGGGTCATCGAGGGTCAGCCTCTGGCCACTAGGGTTTTCTCAGGGTGCCTACTTATTTCCCATCCTGGAGGGGACGTTTCTCCAGAAAGCTTGCATTTTTGGGAATCTGACCCTGGAGAACGCCTTTCGTGAAGCCCTGCAGGGGTTATGGTGGGCCAGGAGGAAAAGGTTCCTTCAGCCCAGTGTAAGGCAGCTCCCAGCTGAAAGTCATTGGGCTTCTCAGGACTCGAAAACAGCCTAGGCCACGTGAGGGGAGTCACAGGGGCCCTGAGGAAATTTGGGTGCCACACTGGAGTTCTCCCTCCCTGGAGAGTGGTGGGTGATTGGGCCCACACAGTCATGCCTCAGAGATTCAAGGAATGTGCCCCACCCGTGGCCCTGAATGGACCTGATCCTATTAAGCAATGGGCCATCTTAGTGGCGCCTCCTTGAGCCTGGTAGGGGGTGGTGCTCTTTCGATGTGGTTGGGTCACGTCTGTCTAGTGTGTGACAACTAGGATGAGAATGTGAGGTGTTCCATAATATGCTTTGTGAAATATGAAATTGAATTAATTGTTGAGCAACTTGATACCTGATTTTCAGCTGCTGAGTGCTATGTGGTTCTGTTATTACCAAAATACCGAAAGTGTATGCTATAAATAAATGCCAGATGCTACTGATAAAAGAATCAAAGGATTAAATATTCTTTTTTTTTTTTTTTTTTTTTTTTTTTGAGGCGGAGTTTTGCTCTTGTTACCCAGGCTGGAGTGCAATGGTGTGATCTCGGCTCACCGCAACCTCCGCCTCCTGGGTTCAGGAAATTCTCCTGCCTCAGCCTCTGAAATAGCGGGGACTACAGGTGTGCACCACCATGCCCAGCTAATTTTTTGTATTTTTAGTAGAGACGGGGTTTCATCATGTTGACCAGGATGGTCTCGATCTCTTGAGCTCATGATCCACCTGCCTCGGCCTCCCAAAGTGCTGGGATTACAGGCTTGAGTCACCGCGCCCGGCCGGGATTAAATATTCTTAACTGTCATTGTCTTCACTTATTAGAAGTTCATCATTGGCCCCAAAACATTCTAACACCATTAAAATTTATTTAACCATGTATTTATACCCAAATACTACACATTAGGTATGTCACCAATGAGTTATGAGATTTCTCAACTTGCGCAAATCAATTTCAGGCAAAATCAAAGATTTTCTCATGAGATTGGATCAAGCAAGCAGATCAGTCACTCACTAAAAACAGATAATCATTAATGATAAATATGTTGCCTGAATAAATCCAGTCTCTTTGATATGATATGTCTGTCTCCAAGGGGCTCTTTGAAGTTTTAATTTGTCAAAGGCAGCAACTTTCTTCCAAGCATCTCTGCTAGCAGAACACACTTGGATCCAAAATAACCATGGTTTTAGTTCCAAATATGCCAAGATTACTATAACTTACATGTCATAAATCCTTTTACTATAACATACATGTCACTTAAATAAGGCTGAAATGGTTGAAACTTGATCACAAAGAAGTGCATAGAGATATGCAAACAAGTTTCCACAAAGGTTTTTTACTCTAGCCCCCTGTAAAATTCTGCATGTCTCTTCTTCTGCCACTTTCAAAATTTTGATAATTCTAGCTTATGTAATAAGTTTTGAAATTGGGAAATGTAAGTCCTCCAGTGTTGTTCTTTTTCAAGAATAAATCTTGACGTTGTTTTGTAAATTTGTGGTCACCTGTAATTCATGTGAATTTTAGGATTAACCTTTCCACTTCTGCAAAAACAACATTAAGACTTTGATAGGAATTTTACTGAATCTTTTTACTCTGTAAGAATTGTTGACT